TACCTCATTTCTTTTTCTAGCACATCTAATTTCTTATTCTAGAACAGAGGAGTGGGTGGAGTCGGGCTAGGGCAGGAGGAAGCATTCTGGGCAGAGGGAACTGTTCTAAAGCACATCATTTGTCCTGGGAACTAGAAGGAAGTCAGGCTGATTAGGTATAGAAAGGAAGTTGGGATCGAAAAGACAGGCAGGCACTGGGTCATAAGGTATTTCTAGGCCGCTGTTTTTCAAACAGCAGTCACGAGATCAATCTAGGAAGTTATAATCGGCATTTTTTAATGTAAAATATACTGGGGTGTACTGCACATCATAGTAAGGGCATGTGTTGTTGTTTTTTTTTTTTTAAAAAAAAAAAACAACCTCTGTTCAGTAGTATGGATATCTGTGTGTTCCAGGTCACAGTATAACACATTATTTACTATGGTCATGGTCAAAGTGTTTGAAAGTCAATGCTCGTGCCACGTTAACCAGTGAACTTTAGCCTAGAGGCAAGCCACTGGAAAGTTTAAGCTGGAAAATGGATTGATCAGACTTGTGTACGTGTATGTGTTCACTGCTTGTTTCTATACATGTGCTCCTGTAGCAGTGTGGAGAATGGATTAGGGAGGGGCGAGACTGGAGCCAGCAATCCATTTAGTTGGCTATTTTTTTTTATTTTTTTTTAATGTTTATTTATTTTTGAGACAGAGAGAGACAGAGCATGAACAGGGGAGGGTCAGAGAGAGAGGGAGACACAGAATCTGAAACAGGCTCTGGGCTCCAAGCTGTCAGCACAGAGCCCGACGCGGGGCTCGAACTCACGGACTGCGAGATCATGACCTGGGCTGAAGTCGGACGCTCAACCGACTGAGCCACCCAGGCGCCCCTAGTTGGCTATTTTTTAATCCAGGCAAGAGCCACTGCAGAAGATAGGTATGGAGGGTTGAATGGACAGGATCTGGTAACTGATCAGCTGTGGCAATGGTGAGAGAGGAGGGGGAATGAGGCTGGTTCCTGCCTTCTTCAGAAGGTGATGCCATTCACTGAGATAGGGAACGAAGGATAGGGAGGGGGAGACTTAAGGTCGGTTTTGAAAATGTTTCTATTGATGTGAATTCAAGACATAAAAGTGAAGTTGATCAGTGGCTACAGGCTGGTTAGGTCACCCTTCGTCCCAGAGGAGAGGTCTGGGCCAGAGGGTTCATGGAGCATTAACTGGGGACTGAGAGTCACGGTCATCACCGAAGCCATGGCGGTAAATAAGATGGCTCAGAATGATGGTGGAAAAGAAGAAAGCCTGAAAGGATGAACAGAGAAAGAGAAAACTGGGGGAGATGACAAAGAAGGTGCATCCAGAGAGACAGGAGGAACACTGGAGGGCATGGCATCCGAGAAGCAGGGAGAAAAAAGTATTTGACAAAGTAAGGAGTGACTCACCTATAAGAAAATACACAACCTGATTTAAAAATGGGCAAAACACTTGGACAGACAAGTCACCAAAGAAGACAGACTGATGGCAGACACCCATATGAAAAGGTGCTCCTCGTCATACATCATGAGGGAATTGCAAATTAAAGTAACGAGAAACCACCACTCATCTATCTATGAGCCTGTCAAAACCTCAAGCCCTGACAACACAAACTGCTGGGGAGGATGTACAGCAACAGGAACTCTCGCTCATTGCTGGGAGGAAGGCAGAAGGGCGCAGCCGCCTTAACAGACAGTTTGGCGGTTTCTTACAAAACCAAACATATTCTTCCATTTTGTCCAGCAATCACACTTCCTCGTATTTGCCCAAAGGGTTGAAAACTTGTGTCCACACCAAAACCTGCCCAAGATGTTTAGAGCAGCTTTATTCACAACTGCCCAAACTTGGAAGCAACCAAGTCGTCCACTGGGTAAACAGATAAACTGGGGTATAGCCACACGATGGAATGTTATTCGGCATTAAAAAGAAATGAGCGATCGGGCCATGAAAAGACAGAGAGGAACCTTACATACATAGTACTGGGGGTTCCAACTACTATGTGTGACATTCTAGAAAAGGCTCAAGTTAACGATGGAGACAGTAAAATGATCAGTGGCTACCAGAGGTTGGGGGGAGGGGTAAACAGGCACCGAGGAGCTTTAGGGCAGTGGAACTGCTCTGTATGACAGCACAACGGTAGATACACGTCACCACGTATTTGTCCCAATTTACAGGACGCAAACCAAGGGTGAGCCCTGATGTAAACTATGGATTTGGGAGGATCATCTGGTGTCGTGTCAATGCAGGCTGATGGACTGTAACAGATACTCTTCCCCGGTGTAGACGCTGAAGGTGGGGAAGGCCGTGAGTGTGAGGGGACGAGGGTGGATGGCAACTGGCCACGCTTTGTGTTCACTTCTGCTGTGAACCTAATACTATGTGAACATAATACAGTTTATGTGTAAAAAAGAAAGAAAGTGAGGAAGGGTTAAGTGCTAACTACTGCTGGCCAGTCATTAAGATAAAGACGGAGGACATCCAGTGGATGACGGCATGATCACTGGTGGCCGGCCAGAGCCGTCTACTGGACCTCATCCCTGCTTCCTTTTATAGTAAAATTGGGAATAGCTGTGTCCATTTCTTCTTGCTATTTCCCTCCCACTCCTTTTCTGTTGTAGCCACACGAATTCAGTTCTTGCTCCTGTCCCTCCGCCAACACTGTATGTCAACGTCATCGATTAAGCTCCACGTTCCTAAATCCAATGAGCTCTCACTCATCTGTTCTGACCTGTCAGCAGCACCCCACACAATTCTTCACTCTGTCCTCCCTGAAACATTTTCTTACTTCTTTTCCAGGACCGCGGACCCTCTGGCTTGCCTCCGCTAGCGATCCCCGTGCCAATCCTTCATCTTCCTGATCTCTGTTAGTGCGTTCCAGAGATCAATCCCTGGGCCTCTTCTCTACATCACTGCCTATAAAGCGATCTCATCTCTAGCTCTGAATGTTATCTCTACACTGATGGTTCCCAAACGGACATCCCTAGCCCGTGCCTCTCAACCAACCTGCAGCCTTATACCCCAACAGCTTACACAGTATCTGAGCCGAGGTGGGTAACAGGCATTTCAAAAGAACTCATCTAAAACATTTCTCCAAACAGTAAGTATTCTTCCCTAGCCATCCTCACCTCTGTTGGCAGTAAATCCAACCTTGGCAGCTGCTCAAGCCGAAACCCCTGGAGTTACCTTTAATTATTCTTTCCCTCACGTCAAATCCGACACAAGTGTTGTTGGAACTGGACTTGCCTAGGTTCAAATTCTAGTCCAACCGCTTCGCAGCTGGGTTATCTTTGCAAAACTGCTAAACGTGTCCTGGCTTCCGTTTTATCACTTGTAAAATGGAGGTGATGGTCTTACGTATCTCGTTGGTATAATAATGAAATGAGTCAGTGTTTGTAAAATGCTCTGGCTGGTGCCTGCCACAATATGTACTATCTCTTGAATCTGACCGCTTCTTACCATCTCCACCTCCACACCCTGTCTGGGAACTAGCCACCAGTGTCTCTCATTTGGATTATTGCAAAAGTCTCCCGCCTTCAGCCCCTAAGCCTTTTAACCAGGCAGAGCAGTCAAAGTGATTTTCTTAAAACAGTATCACACTCAAAAGCTTTTGACATTTTTTTGTCTTTGAAAATTTTGATAATCAAAGTTAGGAAAAACACAAGTCAGATCAGATCAGATCAGATCAGTCTGCTGTTAAAACGCTTTGATTCTCTGCATTTCACTCTAAGTAAAAACTCAGGTCTTTGCACTAAGTGACTGGGCCCTCAAAGTAAGCTCCCCTTGCCTCTCTGACCTCATCTCTCTCTTGTCCCTGTCACTCCTTCCAAGCACAGACCCCCCACCCCTCTCCGCTCCATAAACACCAGCATGCTCCCTCCGGGCGGCCTCTGCACCAGCGGCCTCCGGGCTGGCTCCCCCAGCTGGAAAGCTCAACTTCAGACTGCAGAGCTCACTCCCCCACCTTCTTTAAGTCTGTGCTGAAATGTCACTTTCTCAGTGACGGGGCCCCCTGGGTGTACCTTTTCAAATAACCTCCCCTCCCCACCAGCCCTGAGCCTTCTCTATTTTCCTTTTCTCACAGCACTTCTCATTATCAGACAGAATATTAGGCCATTAATTCTAAGGAGACTTAAAGTGAAATCTAGAAAAAGTTTCCTGTTTATTCAAAAATGCAATTCCCATGTGCTTCTACTGCGTCACCAACCACGGGCCACCCACTGTGTATGCTGTTGCTTACAGTGAAAACATGACGAAGTAAAACGAACTAGGTTGTTGACTGCACTGTTTCTAAACTGTTCTCATGTGCATATAAATGGTGATAAAACACTGCACATTCTGGGTGTGTGGTGTCTGTTTTCAAAGTGTTACATCTTTCCAAAAACTACTTACCCTACTGCCCACTCATTTAAAAAATACTTTTTTATTTGAGTCTGGTGGATAACTGTCACGCGAGTAGGAAATGCAGCAGCAGCAAGGCCGAAACGAAAAGCCTGCTCTATCCTTGTCCCTTACTGCCACATCTCTATGGGGCCCCAGGAAATGGAAATATCCTGAAAAAGGGTGGGAGAGGGGGAGAAAAGGACAGGGGTGAAACGGGAGTATTTACTGCCTCGCAACTATGTGATGGGCCCACTGACTCTTTCCATAAGTCACTTAACTTGGTCTTCGCAGTAACGCCCTCACGAACCTGCCAGCCACGTACAGATGAGGAAACCAAAACTCAGGCGGATTTAGCAATCGGCCACACAACACTGGCAGCTACATGCGGAGCCCGGAGCCAAACTCAGGCCAACTCGGGCAGGGCCCTCTGATGCCACAGTCTATACACTGTGTTGTTAGAGAACCTCGCTTCTGGAGACGCCAGTTCAGCCAACTGGAGCGAAGAAAGGTTGCCAGACGGGCCATGTGTAGTCTATCCCTCAATTCCTGCGTAACTCAGCACGTGTAACTTTCCGTGAACCCAGTCACTGCTGTGTGCCGCTCACTCCCTTACCTGTGGACATAAAAAATGGGATGCGGAACTTTCCACTCAACACCCGGGCCCGCAGATTCTGCAGTGTGCTCCCATCAAACGGCAGGGCACCGCACACAAGCACATACAGGACGACTCCAAGGCTCTGCATCCCAAACAGAGAGGACACACAGTTAATCGCATCAGAGGAGACAGAAGAGGCCATTACGGCCCGTGTGTGAGGATGACGGCGAGTCGTGCACAAGATGATGGAGCCACCTTTTCCCCCCCGTCTGTGTGAGAAATAATATGGGCATTGGCCAGGCCAATCACCTTCAGGATAGCTAATGCTCTTCCTCGCTTCCAGACATTAATTTGGGGTAACACAATGAGAATTTCTCTCGGTACTCAACCTCTGGGGAGAAGGCAAGTGGCACCAACAGAGCCTTGATCTCTTGTCTGTTACTAGCGAGGGCACCCATCCGAGCTTGCTCTTGGGCTTTTTTTTTTTGCAGATGCAAAAGGCAGAGCTTTTTTCTGTGGCTGGGTCCACCACACAAGAGCTGGAGGAAAGAGTCTGCACCAAGAACCGGGAATTCAAAGAATAGGGGTCAAGATCTCAATTCGCATGTGGCATTAGGGGTCACCCGGAGGGAAGACAGCTGTTAGCAAGCGAGGGTGAGGACCACCATGGGGTCTAAGAGAAGACAGTACATACCCAGATGTCCACTTTGGGCCCATCATATTCCTTTCCTTCAAAGAGCTCGGGCGCAGCATAGGGAGGGCTTCCACACCAGGTCTTCAGCAGCTGCCCAGGAGTGAACAGGTTACTGAAGCCGAAATCTACAAAGACAAATAGCTCATGTTATCTCAGCCCTGAACATACCAGCTTCTGGTCACTGAATAAAGGCTCTGGATCATGAAATTTGAGAATCAAATGTGAAAAGAGGATCCTGAGAGGGGCGCCTCGGTGGCTCAGTCTGTTAAGCGTCTGACTCCAGCTCAGGTCATGATCTCACGGCGCGTGGGTTCGAGCCCCACGTCGGGGTCTGTGCTGACATCTCGGAGCCCGGAGCCTGCTTGGGATTCTGTGTCTCCCTCTCTCTCTGCCCCTCCTCTGCTCATGCTCTCTCTCTCTCTCTTTCTCAAAATAAACACACATTAAATTTAAAAAAAAAATTTTTTTTTAAAGAAAAGAGGACTCTTAGAAATTACACAACCATGTGTTAACTAACTTGGATTTAAATTAAAAAATAATAAAATAAAAGAGAAATTATACAACCAGTCACTTGAACTTAACATGAATCACAGTGAAAGGGAGATACGGATGAGCTGGAATGCGAGAGATATCTGGCTAACTACAAGTAAACATGACGGGTTTATGTCAGCAAAACCAACACTGTTCCTTTCATAACCCATGCTGAGTGAAGCAAGCACACCTGTTGCTTTAAGAACAAAAACAACACTGGGTAGCGACTGGTGTTAAGACTGCATCAGAACCCGTAACTACATGTAAGCCCACTCACCTGGACCCAGAATCTTCATGTTATTTTTACTTCTTAGGACAAACACATTTATGACCACTAGAGACACATTGACTTGAAAACTTAGACAAAGTGACGTCATTATCGTTAAGGTGGCTTATTCAAAAGAAAGAGTAGGCAACTTATTTACAAACTGAAACAGGAATGCTTACAATTCAACTCCAAGCCCCTTTGTGCTTCAACTGCCCCCTGCTCTTCTTCCCGTCCCACTGTTTTAAGAGAGAGCAGATGAGAGAGATGGGGGGCGGAGGGGGACTGGAGAAAATGGGCAAGGATGGCAGGCCAAAGGATAGACAGCCGTTCAGTCCAGACACTTTCTCGTGTGCGCGTTTAGGAAGCAAGTTGTATGGAGCCAGCCGAGAACACTGCCCGCCCAGGGCCGGCCACACTCCCTACCGTCACGGCACCTGAAAATGCGGAGCACCCCCTGCTCCCCCCTCCGTGGTTTTACTTCCCTTGACAACTCTGTCTCCATTTGCTATCTGCTTTGCTCCTTTCTTCCTCCCACCTGGGCAGGTGTTTTCTTACAAGGCATGCACTGATTTTTGTCTCTTATTCCTTGCTGTAAGGTTGACTCTCCTGGTCTCACAGCTTCTGTTATCATTTGTTTGGTAATAATACTCCACAAATTTACATCTCTGGTCCTGGTACCCACTCTCAAGGTCCTGACATGAGCTTCTAATACTTATCTGGGAAGAAACGGCTCAAACTGGCCATTTTCTGAAATCAAATCTGTTCTTCCAGTCATGTTCCCGTTAGTGTTTGTTAACAGCATTACCAGCCCAGCTACAAAGAGCACTGGAGCCCCCATTCTCCCTCTCGTTTCCCATTTCAAACTGGTAATAAAGCGTGGCCTGAATCCATTCTCTTGTATTTCCATTCCTGGCACCTTAGTTCATATCCCTATTCTCTCTGACCGAGACTCATGCACAGCTTACCACCTCTATTTCATTTCCCTCTAGGCCACCCATTCGTAGCACAGTGGTGGTCACCCAGATCACTCCTCACTCGAAAACACTGGTGGTTCCCATCCGCTCACAGAATAGTCTATCCCTCTTAGCACTGCCCCCGGCCCCACCCACCCTCCCAACTTCTCCCGGCCATTCTAGCGTTGCTAGACAACTCACATCCTGTGTCTACGTGCCTTCCTTTGGCTATTTCCTCTCTGTGCCATGACTTTTCCTTTCTTTTCCACATTCGAAATATCACTTATTTCCAAGGCCCAGACAAATATTACTTCCTGTATGAAGCCTTAACTGATTTCCTCCACAAAAGACAAGGTCAATGGCTTCCTCCTCTGTGCTTCCATAGCCCTTGAGTTGTGCCTCTACATCCCAATTACTCTGCTTATATCATACTTAGTTGCATTATGTGTTTACGCCCTCTGCCAGTGAGTGGATGGGAGGGATACAGCTTTACTTAACCATTTCCACACGGTGCTTTCCTACATAGCAGGGACTCGAGAAAGGGTCACTGAATGAACTGGCAATAAAATCACTAGGCCAATCCTCCCGTCACTTTCTGGCTCCCGGAGCCTTCTCATCCTTACAATGGCAGCTGGCCAGCCACTAGAGCCTCTACCTCCTAGGCATCCTGTCTACAGTTCTAAAATTAACTTAATGATCACTAGGGGCTTCAGTAGAAACATTTACAACTTCTGGTATAAGAAATCCAATATTCTCACTCATCAATGGAAAATAAATGCCTCTACTGCCAAGCATTCCTGGATCTCCTATAAGAAATACCTTCTACCTTCTCTGTACTCCCCTATTACTTTCTATTTCTCCCTTATTTGGGTTATTGTCATATATATAGACCCTATTCTTCTAGCTCCTGAAAAACACCCTCTCTTTCTAGTTCCTTTCAAAAACTTATTCATCTCAGACTCTCTCAAATTACCTCATATAACAGTGTTTAAACACAATAGGTACTTAAGAAATGTTGACTATGAACGCAACTGCATTTAAAGCTCTACCAACTAAACTACAACTTCTGACACCCAATAAGTTTTAATTTACTCGTTAAAGCCTACATGTGCTAAACTCTATTAAGATTTTTTTTTTTTTTTTTTTTTTTTTTTTTTTTTGCAAGCATGAGGATACGTTGTTAAAAATCCTAACAAACGAGATTCAGCAAACAGGTGTCTTTGGGAATCATCTAGAAAAAGGACCCTCCATTGTTCTTGTTGTCAACTGGCTTCCATACACCTTCATCGGGTCCTTTTCCACGACCGGCCTTCCTCTGTACCATGTGGAAGAACGATGCAGATGGAGTCTGTAATAACCAGTGTGCTCTGATGTTGGTCTGACTGGTCAGCAAAGTCCAGAAGACAGAATCATGGAGTATTTTGTATTTTGAATGCAAAATGCAACACGCCAAGCAATTAATTAAAAGCAGTAGGTTTAAATTTTTCCTAAAAAGCAGCTCAAAACATAGGATGTTTCACATTTTGAACCATGAATGCTCTACCTAAAATTAATAACATTTTTACCGATTTACACTGCTGGGGAGGGGAAAGCACAGACTTCACGGCATGAGCTTGTTAATTCTATCAAACTGGAAATCTTTACAAAGGAAACACTCTCCAAGGGAACCATCTTCAACAGTGGCTTCAGCCAGGATTGCCAGGAGGCACTGACGGGAGAAGCGAGCACGCAAGAACCAGCGACCTGATCGGGGCCTGACAACCACGGGGATCCACACCTGGAGAAGCACCTGCTTCGATGGCATGTTACTACCAGATGGCTGGCTGTGACAACTGGACCCAATGACCGACAGCAAGACTTCAGTACGATGCAACAATGAACCCCCCATCTGCTTGCCCTCACCTCCTATTCCACACCAGGCAAAAATCCTCTCGTCCCGCAAACCTGTCAAGGGGTCTCCTGTAACCATTCCACGTACTGTTCCCACTCCTAACTGCACATTTAAGCAAAATCTACCTCTCCGTGCCTGCTGGGACACGTTCTTTCTTCCCACTAAAGCCAGAGTCCTCTAGTGAATGATCCCGAGGTATCCCAATTCATTCTTTAATGTACCGAACCTAACCGAGTGTGACCCACCCTCCCTCTTCAATACACACATGACTATAAATTCACAGCTTCGCTGAACGCACACCGCTGTCTGATCTTCCCCACAAGTACTTCACAGGCATCTTCAATACTGCTGTGCAGCTGGGAAGTTACAGTTCTGGCTAGTTCACTGTCCATTTCGGCTACAACAGATTTTCTGAAAATTTCAGTTGCTGATCTGGGAGAAGCCGCGAGGCATTAACATACTAAATCTGGAACTTACTGTGGAAGTTTAGTTCCTTCTAACCTATACTCCAGGGACTGATGAACGGGAAGGGAAAGAACCTCCTCCTTATTCTCTCAGCTGCTTACCTCTGGGGGCATTTTGCTACACACTTTAAGAAGACCGGAGGGGAAAAATAAAAGCAGTTAAAACTCAAACCAGTGTATTTCGGGTGCTGCTGGGGGTTTTGGTAAGTAACTCCCCGCTGCTGGGGTGTGCAGGCCGCATGGGGCAGGTGGGGACACACATGGCCTGTTTTCCACTCAGATTTTTGTTCCACAGCCTTACTGACATAAACGTCATATCCCATAAAATTTGCCCATTTAAAGTATACTGTTCAGTGGCTTTGAGTATATTCATGGAGTTGTAAAACCCCTACCTCAATTTTAGAACATCTGCACCATGCTAAAGAGAAACCCAATACCAGCAGCAGTCACTCCCCACTTCCCCCCAACTCTCCCATCAATGACCCCAACCCCAGGCCATCACTAACCAACTTTCTGTCTCTCTGAATTTGCCTATTCTGAACATTTCCAATAAAAGGAACCACACAATATACAGATTTCGTGTCTGGCTTCTTTTCGTTAGCATAATGTTTTCAAGGTTCCTCCATGTTGTAGCGTCTATCAATCAGTACTCTGGTCCTTTCTTTACCACTGAACAATATTCCATGATACGGTTACACCACATTTTATGTATCCACCCATCAGATGATGTACATTTAGGTTATTTCCACTTTTCAGTATTATGAATAATGCTGCTATGAGCCTTCTTGAACGTTTTTTGCGTATGTATGTTTTTGGGGCGCCCGGGTGGCTCATCGGTTAAGTGTCCGACTCTTGACTTCAGCTCAGGTCATGACCTCTGGATTCGTGAGATGGAGCCCTAAACTGGCTCTGTGCAGACAGCGTGGAGCCTGCTTGGGATTCTCTCTCTTGGGCCCCTCCCCTGCTCTCACTCTCTCCTTTTCAACATAAATAAAATAAACTTCATACATATAAAAGA